TGTGTGTGTGAGAGAGAGAGAGAGAGAGAGAGAGAGAGAGAGAGAGATGAAACTAGAAAGGAGACAAAGAGGGGGGAGAAAGAAGGTGTTGATGGAGGTGTTGATGAGGGGAGAGAACAAAAATAGAAGCCATGGCATGGAAGCAGGAAGGAGACTGAGAGGGTGGGGGGGCAAAAGCGGGGGTGGAGCTGGAAGAGAAGGGAGATCAGCATAAACAAAGTATGCTCAAAAATAGGAAACCAAATACTTTAAATAATAAAATGAAATAAAAATAAATTAAAATAAAGAAAGAAACCTGCCCCAAAAGATGATTTTCAGCAGCTATTCTTCAAGATTGGTATATATATTGTACAGAGTAAAGACAGAAAAAATGTTTGTATGACAAATGCTTATTTAAAAACTAAATTTACCTCCTCTAACTTGCATTGAACTAAATTTACATCCACTAACATATTTTTTAAAGTATGAGCTATGATGGATTTAGTCTTCTTTATACTTGTAGACTACTACATGGCAATTATAGGGCTTCTGAAACATGAAGTAGCACTGTTTTTTAAAATACAAACTGAACTGCTAAGGAGATAAAGGGCTGATTCTTCTTGTTGATATTGAACATGACAATCACTGGGTGTCTGAGGCTTGGGAGAAGATAAGGGCAAACAAGGAGTATTTTATTAATATAATGGCCCAAAGGCACTAATATACATATGGTGTGACATAAATAATCGCAAATTAATCTGCACAGGTTTTTCTCACCGTCTTCTGTGTACGTATTCTTAAAGAACTTGCTCTGGGATGCAGGTAGAGCTCACCATCCTTTGCTTGCCTATTCTGGAGAAAGAGTCTGAATTCAATCCTCGACATGATACAACATGTGTTTAACTTCCTCTTCCTACCTAGAAAACAATCTAAGAAAAGAGTTAACTGCAAGGACCAATAATTTGGAAGCCGTCTTAATATTATCTGGGATATTTCTCAGTGGTCATGACAGGAAAAAGCACAGGGACTATTTCCAGTATCATATCATAGATATCCGGATATTTATCAGAAGGTAAGTCTCCTGCCTTACTGTCTCATTCACAGAATCCAGTTTTCAACCACATCAACAAGGAAGCCTTTTATCCAACACATGTACCCTCATTCGGAGCTATATTGGTTTTTCAATTTGTTTTTGAGAGAAAATAAGCATCTGCCACAGGAAATTTGATATTGAGAAGCGATGAGAGAAGGATGAAGAGGCCTTAAGGGGGAGGGGTGGGGAAGATAACAGAACACAGGTAATTTGAAAGTGTGAAGGGGCTGGGGATAGTAGAGGTAGAAGTGTTTAAGTGGAGATGGGGAACTGGGAGGTGAGGAGAGGAAGGGATGGGACAGGATCAGTTACAATGAAATATCAGGAGGAAGCCTGACACTTTGAAAGCTTCACGTAAAACCAACAAGCAAACAAAAACCACACTGTCGCAAGTTGAATCCAATTGTAAGATCCTTGACCAGTTTGACTTCCTGTTTTCCAATCACATTGGACAAAGCTATTCGTAAAGAGCTTTGTTTCTCTTAAAGCCAGTTTGGTGAAGTGACTCTCAAGAATGAGCGTTTTAAAAAGAAACTTTCCTAACAAGATTAACTTCACAGCTGGATTCTTCATTTATTGAGTCTGGTCCCAATCCTCTCTTCATTTCTTTCTTTCTTTTTTAAATCTTAACAAAGTCCCTGCATATAATTTTAACAAAGTCTGTGCATGTAGCTCAGGCAAGCCTAGAACTTGTTAAGTGACCTTGACTCTTAAATGCTAGGATTACAGAGCCACCACACCCAGCATAACTGGATTCTATCATAAAGCGATTCTTATTATACATAATCAGGTCCCCCATTTTCATTCCCATCCCCTGGGTCTCCCCTGAGCACCCCAGACTTTTTCCTATTGACTATTCTAGATGTCTTTCAGCTGTTGCCCCAGTGCCATGCATGACTGGCTGCCTGGCTGGCTACTGCTGCCGTGTTTCCCACCAAGATAGTCACAGACCCAAGCTCTGAAATTGTAAGCCCCCAATAAGCTCTTCCTTCCATAAATTGCCTTGGTCATGGCGTCTTCACAGCAAAAGAAAAGTAACTAAGGCTGAATTCTTCCATTGAGCTACATCCTGGTTAAAATATTTCAAAAATTCTCAAAGGAAACCCCACTCATACTGCATCCAAGAGCCTTGCTTACTGGAACCTCCGCTTCTGTTTTAGACGGCCTTTCTCCAACAACAGCTCAGACGGCTTGTACCAGCTTTGTCAATATTCACCACAGCAGTAACAAGCCTCAGCGAACTAGGAAGGATCTCACCTACATTCACTGAGGACGGCCCCACCCATCTTGTAGCTATGGGATGGAGAAGGGCACTTTGCTCTCAGAAAACACTTCTGATTGACAGAAAGGGGGCTGTGCACATTTGAGTGTTTGAGGTTTATTATTGGTGCTTTCAAGAGGCTTGTAGTTGATTGGTCGAACTAGAAGCTGTGTGCAATCATACTGGCTATATAATGCAGGCTGTCCCTCCTTCTTCCTGGGTCAGTCTGGGGAAACTTCCCTGTTACGGGCTGCCCCCATTTAGGCTGCAACTTTGAACTCTTAGAAAAGTGTGTTCCATATGTCCTGTTATGGCTGACATGCGCTCTTTATCACAGAGTGGGATGCGTTGATAGCAGTAAAAGCACATACACTTGTAGCGTTCTAATTCAAGACACTAGGCACCCAGAAGATGACTGGAGAGTTTACTTCTGAGGTCACAGTTCCTCAGGTTGAAACCCCTAAGGCTATAAGTCTTTGCTCATTCAGCAGCTAGGAGACAGCTCAAGAGTTCCAGAGGGTAGTTAAGAACAGAGAATTCAGAGACTGTGAAAAGCTGTGGAAGGGGAGAGGCTGCAGAGCTGAGTGGAACACTACTGACTCAAGTTACTGGAAGTTTCAAAGAGCTACCCAGGCTTAAGTTCCAGTTCCCTACACTCAAAGCTCAAAACTGTCACACTAGCTCCCAGATACTAGGACACTGACATTAAGAGTCTAGTGCCCTAAGTCACTGACTTGAGCACCTTTGGGTGTAAGTATTTGAAAGCTTAGAGTTACGAGTCCCTAGTTTTCAATGCCTAAAAGCATTTCTTTGGAAACTCAGAGCAATCAATTAAGCCTTTGACTCTGAGAATTTGAAGTTGTATGTCCTATTCTACTTTGATTGATTGGTTTTGATTTGATTTTTGTGTTCGTTTGTTTGTTTTTGAGTCAGGGTCTCCATGTACTCCTGGCTGTCCTGGAACTCACTATATGAGACCAGGCTGGCCTCAAACTTATAGAGATCGTCCTGCCTCTGCCTCCTGAGTGCTGAGATTAAAGGTGTGCACCACCGTGTTTGGCTTCACAGCATTCTTAAAATCACGAGAGGCAATTTGGTCCTCAACAGAACCTAGGATGCTGTTGGCTCCGTTAATGGCAAGCTTCCCATTTTCTCAGCCTTGATGGTGCCTTGTAACTTGCCATGGGTAGAATTATCCTGGAGCATGCAGACAGTGTTGTTAAGGTCAATGAAGGGACCAGTGGTGGCACAAATAGCCAATTTGTCAGAGTTAAATGCAGCTCTGGTGCCCAGATGCTTGATACAGCCAGATCCATTTATTTACTCAGACCTTGACATCACGTCTCAGGAATGTGGCTGGCACCGTATGAAAAGATGTGGCTGTCTGTCAAACAGGGAGAGGCAGAGAGCCAGCAAGCATGCTATGCTCTGCAGCCAACACTTTTCTCGGTTCTCCGAGGATGCGCCAGTGAATGATGGGCCAGTGAATGAAAGACAACCTTGGGGGTTGTAGGTGTCACTACATCCGGTGCCTTGTGGGGAACTCCATAGGAAGTCCAGTTCTATATTATCATAAAACGAGTAGTGTTGGGGGAGGTGAGGCAAGCAGACAATAGTCCGCTTTTCGGCCTTTTGGTAAACAAAAGCAAGTGGGTATCTGCTCTGCTTCTTTTCCCTCTACTTGACATTTCTGTCTTTGTGTTCCCAGGGCTATCCGGATCTAAGACCACATTCTTTGACAGTTAGACAGGCTTCCCTGTAGCAAAAGTAAAATTCCCAGACAATTTTCCTTCTCCTCCTGTCCTGCATGAATAAGAGACACGTACAGCTATCCTGCTAGACTGTACCTACCAAGGGTAATTACCTTTCATATCGAGCAGGTAATCTCAGCCTTGTGCGACTCCTCTGGCCAAAGGGCTTTCACGGGTTCTTACTCATTTCCTGTTATCTTCCCTGCCACTGTCTTCCTGACACGGCTTGTCCTCTGGCAGCCACCGCGTGCTCTGTGTAAGATTGCGTTTCTCCAGGATACTGTTCAGACAATGAAATGAGGGCTTATGCTGTGTCACAGCCTGATGAAATACAAAAGAAACCCCGGTTTGCCTAAATATACAAGCCCTCCTGTGTAACCTCATTGATGATGCGCAGACAGCATCAGTACAAAGCAAGCCTGAGTGCTTCCAAGTCCTATTTATGTCGTTGTGATGATGCTTGATACTCCTTTTATTTTTTTAATGCAATATTTGCTCCTTAGGAATAAATCAATCCCTAAAGTTGGCCAGCCCCACTGTCTTGCCATAAGTTCAGTACACAGTGTCACAAAGCAGTCCTCCATCCCGCCCTTTTCCTATTTCATTACAGAAAGCACTGCTCCTCCACTTACTGGGGCCAGAATTCATATTAAGAATGAAGACTGCTAGGTGCATGGTGTCACACAGCTGTAATCCTAACTCTTGAGAGGTTAAGGCAGGTGTCTCACAAGTTCGAGGCCAACCCAGGCTAAGTCATAAGTTCCAGGGCTAGTCTGGGATACATAGAAAGATCCTGTCTAAATAGATAAATAAAATAAAATACTGGGAAATTGTGCCCTCTCTGAAGTAGAGCAAGCGTCAAGGTTACCAAAGCTGGCAGTGGACTTTGGGAAGACACTCCAGACTCTCCAGGGGACAAATGTAGGATCTGCTGCCAGATCCTACCTGAGGCCCCTGTCAATAGCTGAGAGAAGTGAAAGCTGTCAGAAAGAGGGGTCAGGGGAACACTGAATCTTGTGCATTAAGAAGAGTTACCGATGCCGTGGATAGACAGACAGACAGGCAACAGAACGGTGAGGCTCTGAGGAGACTTTAGGCCCCAGCATCAGAGAAAGACAGCATGTTGGAGGCTCTAAAGAAAGGAAGTGAGGGCCCACATGGCAGAAGTGGCAATGCTTCTTATACCTGTCACAGCAAAGCCCATAGCCAGACTCTTTGACCCCCTGGCAGGCAGCAGAAAAGGGGATGTGGGTCAGGATGTGTGGCCACCCTGTTGGTGTAAGTTTGCTTTTATGGGTAAGAAACCCTGGCATTTGAAAGTCAGTCTGAGACTCACGTTTGTCTCAGTAGGGTACCCATCAAGTATCTGTGATGGGGCAAGGACTGCTGAGGGAAAGATACTGTGGAAGATACAGATTCTAACATTGCATGTTTACGAGGAGAAGGTAAGATCAGAATTTTAACAGACACCCTAGTAGGCAGAGAGGGAGAGGGACCATGATTAATAATGATGGAGAATTTCCAAGATGGCCAGCTTCTTCCTCACTCTCCTGACTTGAGACAAAAGCCTGACAGCTTCAGACAAAGGCTTTGTAGGGTTTTGTCTCTCACCAGCAGGCCCTCTGCTGATGGACTGGCTCAAGGAATTCAAGGCCTGCTCAGGACATGTCGCACGATTGTTCTGGGCCATCCTGGCTTTCTTCAAACTGACCAACATTAGTCTAGGGGAGAACAACTCTACAGATGTTTTTAAACACCTTAAGAAGAGACTTCCCCTAGTCTAGGGTATAACCTCCGTGGGTCTGTGGATATGTCAGACCTAAGAGAGATAGTGCCCCCCCACACACACACACATCCTGCCACTACCAGCTACATTTGAGGGAAATTATAAGCATCAGCCTAAGAGAGAGGTGCAACTGGAGTGTATGAGAGTCACCTCTGCTGAGCCCCAAAGTAAGAGGAAGTTTAAGAGTTTAGAAGACCAGAGGCCAAATGTGAAATTGACTATGGTCTTGTCATTACTACTGCTGCCACCACCAGCACCACCACCACAATGTGCAGAGAGTAATTGCTAATACTAGAGCTTGCTAATTCTAGAGCTGAGTACTTTAGTCCACAGGAACCTGGACTGATTTCCTGGACTGGGCAGATCCACAGATGGATATGACTGCTATATATTCAAGGTTAAGCCAGTGTTCGTGACTTTGATTACCAGCTATTTGAGCACCTGGTCGTAGTAATGTATGCCTCCCCCAAACTAGAACATATCCCGGGGCGGCAGGGGTGGGGGTGGGGGGGTCATCTTTTAAGGTAAACTTTCCAAGCTACTAAAACCAAAAGAGTTACTAAGCCAGTGGTGCAAGGCCCACAAGTGATACCATCCTCCAGAAGGGTAGTTTGGATCCAGAAATTCTAGCTACCTGGCGAGCATAAAGAGATTAACTCAAGCTATTTTGTAATCAGAAACAGCTGATATAACACGGGCAGCACCCAAGTCCCACAACTCCCCCGTGTGGTCAGGGTAGAAGCTGGATGGATCATGGAAAATGTAGACTACCAAGAACGGAATAAAGTGACTCTATCCACGCATGCTGGCTATGGTGCCTTCCGTCATGGATTTGATGGAGCAGTTGACTCTAACTTTGGGTCACTACCAGTAAGTGTTGGATCTGGCAATACCTTCTCTGTTGTCATTGCCCAGGAGAGTCAGGAACAATTTGATTTCACCTGAGAAGGAGAGACCAAGAGTTAGACAGATTCCCTGGTAGGTAGACAGATATGGAGAAAGGCCATGACTAGGTGACCTTCTTCCTCATCCTCCAGACCTGAAACAAAAGTCTAGCAGCTTAAAACAAAGGCCTTATGGGTTTTTCCTCCTGCCAGTAGGCCCCCCACAGGTGGGGTGGACTGGCTTAACAAGTTTGTGGTCAGATCAGTAGACAGTTACACAATAGTTGTGGGCTAATCAGTCACTCTGTCTTTCTTCAAACTGACCAATCTTAAATTAGGGTAGGGAGACTCTTTAGAGGCTTAAAAAAAAACATCCCTCAAGAAGAAACTGGATTTTCAACTTCATGAGTCACTGTCATCCTGTCCACCCTCCCCCCCCCACCCTCCATTCCCCACCCCCACCTGGTGGAGGATGTTGTTCTCTGTGTCCTCAGCCGGCTGATCCTGTCTCCTTCAGTTTGCTGTGTTTGAGATTTCACTACTGCTTGCTACCTATCAAGTTTAAGATTTGTCCTGCCTTTGA